CTGAAAATTATGGTGTTACTTCACCTCTCTTGAATATTGAAGTTTCTCATCACACTCATCTAAAGCCAATACTCATCAATGATGAAGTGAATAAAATGCCCTTTTTAAAGTAAGCCTTTTAGATATTAGTTCTTCAAAACTAAAGTATTATTGTCACAAAAATTTTGAAATTAAGAAGTCCAAAAAAAAATCCTACAGGGCCTAAGGACCAAAATGCCATCAGCATGTGTTTCTCCCCAAAATCTCTCTCTGTAATGGGATAGCGGTTCCCTTCTCCCCTCCCCTAACCCTCCCTTCCTTTTTGAGGACTATCCACCTTTTATTTTAATTTCTCAATCTTTCACTGAATTTATTTATGTTTTATTTTAATTTCATCTAGATTTCTTAAATTATCTATCGTTTACTTTAATTGTTTACCCTTTTATGAAAATATCTACTTTTCACTTTAATTTGACTGTCTTCCCCTTTAACTCCAATAAAGGCCATCAAATTTGCCATATGGACACTATTTTCTATAAACCCGTCAAATATGTGTGGGGGTTCATATAGTGAATACTATTTTCATATTGAGAAGTGGACATCAAAATATTCACTTGTTACCGTTCTGTTTATACCCCTAACAGTAACATGGTTGTCATTATTAGCTGTTCTTCAATAGTAAGGTGCAGCAATACTTGGTACAAAAATGAATATAGCGAAAACATTATATACCTTCTGATCAATGTATGATACATGTGATATAAACAACTGTGATTAATTCATAACAATATGTTTTCCCTAATTTGTGCAACTTGCATATCCAGAATTTAAAATTAAATAATTAAAAAGTACCAATAATGTTCAGAAAATACCATGCAATACCACGTCTCCCAATCAGTTCTTTTGAGAAAAAGAATAATGGATGTAACAAATTACTCATGCCCCAGAAATTTACAGTAAAAGAAAGCAACACGAGCTGCATATAGAGTAATCCAAGGAGAAAGGGCATACCACTTTGGCCAGCTCTCCAACAGTAGAAAGGACTCCAGTAACAATAGCATTATTAGCACTTATTCCAGTGCCTTCACTTAATCTCGCAACAAGAGCCTGAAAAGTGGTTCAGATAGATCCCATTAACCAAACTTTTGTCCTTTATAAGCATTTTATCTCACACCTTGGTTAATGATTCAGGAATCATGCCCCTCTAAGGCAAGAACAAGGTATTGAAAGAAAATGAAAAAGAAGCATTATATAAATATATCACCAAACAGACCTTATGAATTGGGGAAATATATGGAAGTATTAACCGTTCACAATTGCGAATCAAGCATCCGGCAGTAGTTTGGATAGTATTCTCTCTTCCCTACACTTGCGTATCCGCACCTGGACTGCAAAATAAGAGCCAAGATGAGAACAGCATTTACTCGGAAGTGAACTTAAAAAGAGAAGTTATATGATGATAATGATGGTCCCATGATAAGGCTGTGTTAGCATTACTAACAGTCCTATATCCCACCTTTTATCTAAGTATGTCAGTAATTGAATGAGATGACGGCGAAGAGCTGGAAGAACATAGGCAGGATTCTTTTCTGACAGCCTACCAGCCAAAGATATTGCAAACTCTCGAACAATAAAATCCTACAAAGTAAATTATGAGATATAATGTAAGTATCGGCGACAGGACAAGAGCATTTGTAGATTAAAAAAATGGCAGACAGAACTTGATAACTCCATTCTATGTGCAACCACAACATAAAAGGTGAGATCAAGGACGCTGAAACACAAATGCATCGCATAACTTTGACAGAGAAAATCTGATCAATTAACCGAAAATCTTTCAAAAACAATATGGGATAAACTTATATTTCACAAGTAAGCAAAAAAATAGATTGTACCTTATCCAATTCTAAATAAGAACAATGACACCACCAACATAGATCAGCTAAATGTGGATAAGCCATCTATCTTGAAGAAGTGCGCAAGTTTTCTCATAGTAATGTCATCTATCCTCTCATATATATAAATAAATTTCCTTGACGTAAAGCAGAGTAATTAAGAAACAACCTCTCTTACATTTTCTAAACTCAAATGCAGGATGAGGTAAGGTCAGATTCATGAAAATTCTATTCAGAATCGAGAAATCTTCTCGAACATCAAACAAGGGAATGGATCGCAACAATACAAGAATTTCATAAAGAAAATCTGTCTGGTACTCGGTCTTCAGCTTCTAAACTAACCTAAACCTAGACGGGTCCCACTAGTTCATCATAACTTAGGTTCAAATGTGGCATGTTAAGTTTAAGGTCATATTCCTCACTTCTTTATGTATTAGCATTATCCTGCATTCATATAACTCACTTCTTTATGTATTAGCATTATCCTGCGTACTTTTTTTAAAAAATCTTGTACCAACATAAAAAGAATCAGAAGCATATGAAGGCATCACTCGGTATCCATTACAACAACAACAACAAAACCTCTATCCCAAGTGTTCGGGGCATTTGGTATCCATTAACTAAACTTATTATAAGCTTAAAAAAGAGGTGGGAGTTTCAGATGCAAAGCACTTGATCATCAATGAATGGAAGAATAGATATGATAATAGTTAGTGGAAACATAGGATTCATGTAGGCAACCCCAAAAGAATTTAAAATAAAGGCAGATGTTCTTGTTGTAACCACCACATTGCCATCGAGAACCTCTGGACCAATAGCCCTCATTATCTTAAAAGCAACAAGAAGAAAAGAAGGTAACGTAGAATCTAAAGTCAGATGCTATAAGAAGTTTATGTTGGCAGTCTTGCTACTAGGAACATAAGCTGACATTTTTGGCTCGTATAAGAGTTACTATAAGGGCTTCTGATTTTCTCTGTGTATATTCTTTTTTATGCCTCCTCTCTTTCAAAAATAGGCATAAACTGACATTTTGGCACTTATTAGCAGCTTCCAGTAGGGGTTTCAGTTTCTTTATACTTCCAATTTACTTTCTGGTGCCTCATTTCCTTTGTATAATTTATTGACTACCCTATGCAAGATCTGCAATGTTCTTGTGTTCCATCCCCCCAAAGTTCATCAAAAATAAGATAAGAGGTCACAATTTGACTACTATTGATCACTGTCCCATGCTAACATGGACTACACTGAGGATAGATGATATATAGAACGTAGAAAAATAAATGTGAAATTATAAATTTTGGAAGACCAAAGGCAACTGGAGATAGCACAGACCCATAGTCACAAATTACAAAGTGGCATAATGAGTTGAAAACTACCTCATCATTTAATGCAACAAAAATGGATCTCAAGCTATCAGCCTGAGCCAAGAATTCATCAAAACTGCTATTCTCGTGCAAAGATGAAAAGACCGACTTGCGAACACTAACATCAGCATCCGCAACTGCTGCAATAAGAAGTTTCTCCACAATCTGCAAAGGGGAATAGAAAACTTAAGAAAATTGACTGCAGATTACATACAGGGACATTGACAGAAGATTGGCATCATACTATCTGAATGCAAGTGTAGTTAAAGCTTAATTGTTTTCCCCCTCTGTTGCTAGAACGCATGACAAACAAATAGATCTCAGTTTGCTCCCTCTTCTTAAACTTATCAACCTTTGCATCTAATTTTTACTACTCTATGAGAAAGACTTGATCAAGATTCGGAAATAATTCAAAAGATCATTCAGGTATTAAATTAAATTTCATTCGTTCCAGCACATTTTATTCATCCCTTCTCAGTAAGAAGAGTTAAAGATCAGTTAACACTTGGATTTTAAAATTACATGTCAACTAAAACGAAGTTAAATAAAAAAAAACTTTTAAGCTCATGCACAATATTTTCAGAAAAAACCTCCTCTACAAGACGTCGTCGCTTTGTTCCCCCAATCCGATTGGATCTGCTTGAACCAAACTGTGAACTAGCTAACCCGAAGAAGGAATTTGCAACTAATCTGCAGCAACATATGGCTGCCTCTCTTCGAGTATTCCCATCTTCATCCTCCAAATAAAGAACAACAGATTCTCTCGCAAATTCTAGAAGTTCGTGACCCTGGAACAACAAGGCTTTAGATTCAGAAATAATGCATGTAGATCTGCCAGATGAAAGGAATAGAAAACCTGACCTTGAAATTAAAATTAGCTAAAGTTCGCAAAGCAAGTTGCACAAGAACAGAGCCATTAATATCTGAAACTTGCTGAGATACGGTTGTTGCATTTGTACGGGCACCAGAAACACCCGGCTTTGCCTGAGGATAAAGGGTTTTGGAGAGCGCTATTGAAATGCAATCTAGAAGGCGCTCTTGAATGGTTGGTAGTAAAGAAGGAATACTGAAAATTATACAGATTATAATGTTACGTAGAAGAAATATACATGCATTTGAAGAAACATACAAATATAAAATGAAACCTTTGAGTTATTTGTTCCAGGGCTTCTACAAGGACAGGAGAAAGACCACCAGAGAACATAGAATCTAGGAGACCACGAACATGAGGCTCCATAGCTGAACCCATGGCTTTAGCAAAACTACCCACACAAGCCAAGGCCTCAGAAGATGGTCTCCCTCTACGAGGAGCAATCTGTAACCATAGAATGTTATGCAAATATGTAGTAAATTATAATGCAACTACATCAAGTAACTTATAATCATATTAAGCAACTAAATACCAAAAGTATACATCAAAAACATACTGCTTCCCGCAAGTGTAAGGTAATTGTAGGAAGGTAAGGGATAAGTTCACCATCTAACGCACCCGCCATTTCACCCAGAGCAATAAAACCACTAGCCCGTTCAGCTGGTATACGCAGGACAGCTAGGATATGATTCATGCAAATCTGCACATGAGAATATTCATGCAAGCTATTTGACAATTGCACTTGTCAACAAAATTTAACTAATCGAACTTTAAACATGTTTTGAGGAAAGTATCAAACAAAGAAGCTTAGCCCCTGCATCAAACACAACCCAGTACAGGGTTTGGAGAGAAACCTTCAGATAGTTTGTTACAAAACGGTCACGTAAGAAGTGAGCAATGCGAGGAAGCAACGACGTAATGCTGAGACGAACAAGCCGGTCCCTGTGTTCGAGATATTTAAGAACTATGTCTGCAACCTCTCTGTATCTAGACATCATAAACTCCCCAGTGTTCCTGTAAAGCAAAGCAAATAAACTACTTAGCAAAAAATGTAGCATATTTATGCTTTTTGTAGAGGAAATGTTCATGCAGAACTTCCAGGCCAAAGTCCTGATAGAACAACACACCAAGAGAAGAATTAAGGACAAATTTTTAAAAACACCCCTTTTTCAAATTTAAATAGTAAAATTGACCTATTAGCAATAAAAACAGCAAAATCGACCAAAAGAGTCGATTTTGCAGCCAAAAAAAAGGAACGGGACTGCTAGTCCCGTCAACGCCGTGACTCCCCCCTCAAACACCGCACACGTGACCAACTCACTCTCCTCATCATCTCCTTCCCCCTTTCTCTCCTCATCATCTCCTTCCCCTTTTCCTCATCATCTCCTTCCCCTTCTCTACAAACCATCTCTCTCGCTCTCTCATCAGTCGTCGTCACCATGTGTAGCGGCCCAACGAAACCCCAGTCTCCGCCTCCCATAGCGTCGGAGCCCTCGAAGTCGGACCCCTCCTCCTTGCTCGAATTCGCCGCCTACAACGACCTCTCTCACCAGCCTCCGAATTTGCCGGTGAATCTATTCGCCACCAGCTCCGCTATCTCAAGGAGCTTCAGGGATATGAAGGTAGACGGAGAAAGAAGGCGGGATCTCGCCGGAGAAAGAATTGGAAGAGAGGACAAGGGTGGTTAAGGAGGGGAGGGAGGAGAGGGAGGAGGGTGATGGAGGATACGCCGCCGGCGCTGGTGCAGGTTAGGCCACAGGTAAACTAGGAGGGGTTGAGGGGCGACAGGGGTTGGAGGTGAAGTTCCAGGAGGTGAGGCAGGACCAGGGGTTTATGGAGGATGGGATTATGGCGGACTTAAAGCGGCGAGGGCAGCGTCGTCGGAGGGGAGGGTGGTCGACACAGTGGTTGATGGGGATGAGGATCGGATGAAGACGAAGAGGAGAAGGCGGCTGAAGAGGTGAGATTTTTTTTTAACACGAAATAGACGGGACTACTAGTCCCGTCCACCAACCTGGAATATTGCAAAATCGACCCTTTTTATCTTAAAGGGTCGATTTTGCTATTATTTTTATCAAACGGTCGATTTTGCTATTTAATTTTAAAAAAAGGGTGTTTTTAAAAATTTGCCCAAGAATTAATCAACTTGAATATATCTATGCAAACTTATGAGGCAGCAAGAGAACCTTTTCCATTTTCTTTCAAAACTAAATTAAGCATGGTGCGGTTTTGTGAACCTTCATCCGCTTAAGGTAGGTGGAAGAGTCCAATTTCTAAATCCAAGCTAAAACATTCACACTAACTGGAAAAGAACACACGCCAGATGAATTTCAATTTTCTTATTGTGTACCTATCACTAAGAGTCATGACAGCATGATGTAACAACAGCAAGTCTCCTTATGAGTATTGGCCAAGCGAGGCTTTACCTTATATAAGACCACATAATTCCAAAGTCAAACTGAATAAAGCATCCCAAAATTATCCATCACATCTAAGTTCGTAGTTGCTAAATGATAACTGCACATCAGCATATCAATATCTTCCGATTGGTCATTTCAAAAATATTTCTAGATGTGATTCCACTTGGGTCCATAAAGGCTATAATTTCAGGTTTGCTACTGCCCCATAGAAATGTTAGGAAGAGAACGAATTTCAGAAGATGTCTTGAATGTTTTAACTTAAGCTTGTAAAGTAAAACAAAAGCTGCAGAAACATGATGAACATTAAATGCCACGAGATGACAACATATATTTGCGGTCAGGTTTTGTCACCATTCCAATGGAATGATTTTTGCATTAACAGGGGAAACAAAACGTAAACAAATATCCACATGCAAAAAATAAGAAGAGTGGACTAACAGTACCTCAGAAGTTCTCCAACGGCAAGCAAAGAACCATGTATGCTGTGGACAGAAGCATTTTTCCCTAAACCAACTAGTGCAGCTTCACACATTCGATAATACCTGAAAACAGATTTCGGATATCAGAAATGCAGAAGGAAATACAACCGATACATTAACAACAGACTTTATACCAAATTTTTGCAATAGCAAGTCCTAAATTGCATGCTTAAATGTAAATGTTAATTAATAGCATAATTACTGCTTCAAAGAGCACCTGCAAAACTGATGGAATGACTGTGGACAAATTGAGAAGAATTCAATATTCCGCAGGAGATTGGATGAATAGCCATAACCAGATTAAGTGGTACCAGTATGCACCAGAGCACTGAGACCTGGCTCAGTGGTTTAGTGGTGGGATGGCATGGGGTTATAGGAGGTCCAAAGACCAAAACCAGGCAATGGTCTCTGTCAGAAAAACACCCAACTGAGTCTTGTAGTCTAGATGCCTAATGTCATCAGTCTGAGGATCCAAAACTCACATATGAGCGAACTAAGGGGGGGTTAGTCACCTAGAACTTTTTAAGTAGAACTGGGATAATTGGTAAAGTGGGATAATATTTTAACACTAGGATAATTTAGTGGAACAATGATGGGTAATTCTTGAAGTGGGATAAATTGGTAGGATAATTTGGTGGGATAATGATGGATAATATTATGAAGTTGCATAATTTGGTAGGATAATTTGGTGGGGGTAATGGTGGGTATAAATTACTATTGTTAATAATTGTATATTAAAAATAATATAATATTGATAAGCAAATTCTAGTAATAACTATAAAATATAATGCAATAAAGCATCACTATTCATCTCAAATAATAAAATAATTTACAAATAAATAAAAATCTAAATCCCTAGAGTGACTCGACTTCCATCATCCCGCATGGCTTCTATCATCCCACATGGCATCTGCCATAGAATTTCTCCAAGCTCCTACAGCTACTCGTTGAGTCTGTAACTCGTCTTCTTTATCGGAGTCATTGTCTGCATCAGCAACATTTCGTGGAGCTTCTAACGGAGGATCATAAATGTCGAAGTTCAAATCTCATAACATCATAAAGAAAGAAAAATAAGCATTTTCAGCCATTAACCCTTTGGACCAATCTCATCATGATCGCTAAAACTAAATCAGCAAATAAATGAAATGTACACAGGAATCATCCATGACCGCTAAATAGATGATCGACAGATGAACTATAAATATCCCAATCAATTTACTGAGCCGATTTAATAATAATAGATATCACCATTAACCATTCAACATCTAATCATCAATGTGATCACAAAGTTGCTTTCTAACTTATAAAAAATATATATATAGCCCACATATCTTTAGCACTAACCCACCAACACTATATTCTTAACCTAAACCATTGTTGTGGAGAGAAAACTTAGATCAAACAAATAATAATAAAGTAATTTAACGTTAAAAAGCTATCAATAAAGTAATACATCTTGAAGATAATAATAAAAGATCTAATCATCACAAAAACAAAGTAAAGACAGAAAAATGAACGGATGATTGACTTCATGGCAGAGAAATTTTCTAAGCGGAGAAACTAACCAAGAGGGAGGGAGGCGACGTTTCACTTTTTTTCCCCAATTGTATTCTTTCCAATGTGTGGGATAATTTGAGAGAGGGGCTTATGGTTATATATATAGGTAGTATAATTTGTGGGATAATTATGACCAATTATCCCAATTCTAATTCTAGTAGAATTCAACTTGACTAACGCACCAAAAAAATAATGCAGTTCTAGTTCTACAAAAGTTCTATTTGGCTAACACTATAAAAAAATATCCAATTTCCTAGTTCTATGTGACTAACACCTTAAAAATTTATCCCACAAATTATCCCAGTTCTAGTTTTAAGTTCTANTAAGGAAAATTGAAAAGCCCCCCATTTCAGCAATAAGACCCAATATAAATTCACAATATAAAAGTACAAGAAGATAGACATGTCACCTCTATAGTTAACTAATTTAATGGTGATATCATGTTTTTGCTGAAAATAATATTTGCACTTTTGTAGTAAGGTAAACATGGCAAATAAACAAGGATATATGCATTATATGACAAGAATGCAAAATAGCCATGACCATCAAGAATTACTTCCACCTATTACACAGACAATGAATGTCATCACAGTAATTGAAGAAAAATGGAAAATCTTTAAAGCCCCAAATAATATATGTAGAGCACCTAACACCATGCCCCATCAGCAGACATCAGGTATGTTGGAAGTATAAAGAAATAACATGGTCTCAAATAAATAGGTAATATAAACTATAAACTACGTAGGTGCCTCTACTTAAAACAAATTGTTAAATAATGGTACATAAATGTTAAAACAAACCATTGCACACGCCAACGCGTCTCACGCTTCTCAATAACACCAAGGCAAGCTCGTAAAGCTTCCACAGCACGTTCCCTGACAGCCAATGTGGGGTCTCTCAATGCAACCCATATAGCATCTACAAATTCAGGCACATGAACATTGAAAACTGTTGAGGCATTTTCAGCCATTTCCTACAAAAGAAAGAAAAAAGGTTGACAAATATATAAATGAATATAGAGCACCGTACCTCAGAATATGTAACAAAGCAAGAGATGTTAGAAATATGAACTTCTGTTACAATTTGCAAATATCCTGCAAAGAAGTACTTCTTAAAGAAACAAAGTAATATGCATTTAAGACTGCCAACTACCTCCAGTAACTCTGGAAACATTGACAGGCAACAAACGAATCAGATCAAGAAACAAATATGCTCTTTTCCCAAATGCACGAAGAGAATATATTTTTTCATCCTATTAATTATTAGATAATTTATGTCTTAAGAGTATGGAATTATGTTTCATTTTGACTGTTTGGCGTGTACTTTGAGAACACATAAGATTCCGTGAATAAAATAGTACGGAAAGGGGAGAAAACAAAGGAGAAAACAGAAGGTCACTACCGTTAATAATACAAACATTGAAGAGTTTCATGTCATATGTTTCAAGTTATTTTAAATGCTAGATAAATATTCTATTTAATGAGACCTTCAAGTTCAAAGTACACTAAAATAAGTAAATATAAGAAAATTGAGGCAATGAAAGAAAGTTTCTTCCTTCCTGGATGGCAGATAGTGAACTGGTAGTGGATTGGTATGGCCTGTCTTTGTAACAAGGAGCATATGTTATTTGTGTGTGTGTGCGTGCGCGTGCGTGTTTCACTTACTTTCAAAATAAGGACCGCTGCAAAACGACGATACTCTATTCTTTCCCCGCGAAGCCAACTCAAAGCATTTTTTATCTAAAAAGAAAATAAAATCACATCAGAGAATATAATGGAAAATCTCAATAAAATAAAATAAAATAAAAGTATGTGACTCACCTGTCTCTCCACCTCATCTGCTGTCATTGCCCCTCCAGCTCTGGCCAGATGGCCAAGAACATTGCTTGCAAGAATTAAGATTTCTGGATCACGTTTTGCTTCAAATACAGTACGCATGTAGCTGGAAAACCTTGAAACTTTGGACGCACTTTCCCCAAGGGTTACATCAATCAACGCATCTATACCTCGTAGAGCAACCATGTTGTCAGCAACTTCAGTGCTTTCTAGAAGGCATGAGATACGATCATATAACTGGTCCATGAAACGAGAGAAAGCTTCTCCACTAAGATCACGAGCTTCCTCTTCAACATGTTTCTTTAGAGCTGATGCAGAACCATCCTGAATGAAATAGGATAGGTTCTCAAGTAAAGGTGGCTTCCTCTTCAACATGTTTCTTTAAGCTTGATGCAGAACCATCCTGAACACGGAGAAATTTTCCATCAAAGGTTTAAGAGTTTGCTACATGGATAAGTTAACTCACTGTTGCCCAGAATTTAGTTTATCAGTAATCAAGGTCCCAAATCTCAATATTGGTCGCCATTTTTTTGTCTTTATGGGTACTCTATCAGATGTTTCAACACTGTCAAATTGGGATTATCTCCCCATAGAATAAGTGGAAGTGAATCCAAGTTGTGTATTAGTTGATCTTCTTTTACTTCCCTAAAATAACAATATCATATCAATTGTAGCCCAGAATTCAGTTTATCAGTAATCAGGGTCTCAAATCTTAATATTGGTCGCCATTTTGCTTTGTCTTTATGGGTACTTTATCAGATGTTTCAACAGTGTCAAATTGGAATTATCTCCACATAGAATAAGTGGAAGTCAATCCAAGTTGTGTATTAGTTGATCTTCTTTTACTTCCCTAAAATAACACTATAATATCAACTTTGACTATTTCAAATTCCACATCACCTTCTTCTTAGTCATTATTAGCCCAGTGTTATCGAGGCGCGAGGCGCAAGGCGCAAAGGTCCCTTACGCACACCATGCGCAAGGCGCACAATGAGGCGCACGCCTCACTGAATTGAGACGCATAACTCAAACTAATATTTTCCAACATAAGACAGAAGCATATAAAAAACATGTTTATAATTTATCACATAAAAAGACTAAAAATATAATTCCACCTACTAAATCACGAAAAAGTCTTAATTAGCATGCATAACATAAAGAAGTTCATAAGTTTCCACAAATCACAATGCAAGATAATATCCAACATGAGCAAAAGTCTATGAAATAGAATAAGCAAATAGCAAGAAATTATGCTAACTGAATTTTTTCTAATTAAACCAATTACTAAGTTGTTGTCGCTCACTGACTTTGTTTTTCTTTTTTACAGATTATACTTGAGAGTTAAATAGCAACGAGCAAGGATGAAGGATCAATCAAATTTCCCAACGCAGCTATCAAAATAAATATCCATAATTCATTCAAATGTATATTCATATTGTATTCCTATTTTCTGTGAACTGTGAACAGCAGAAAAATTAAACAGAAGCTATATTGTATAATGTTTAACTAGTTAGCATGCTTGCAGTTTAGTTCGCTGAAAATTAAACTAGTTATGCACAATTTCTAATCAAATTCATCACTGCAAAACTAGAAGTGATGGCACATATAATGCTATCAAAACTTATCTGCAACTCTTGAGGCCTGATTCAAATGAGGGGTATTTCAAAAGAAAAGAAGAATGGAATTTTAAGAATCTAATTCTAAAAGGAAAACTGGGAATATCAAAATCCGAAAATTTTGGAGAGCTAAGATGATACAGAGTTATAATTCCTCTTTAGCATTTACCAGTGATGATTGGAGAGGCAAGTGAGGATGTGTGAAGTTTAGCATATGGTTTATCAGCTAGAGAATAGCAAAGGAACACATTGATTTTCAAATTAGAAAAATATAAAGCTTTTTCCTAAAGTCAATAATATGCACTTCAATGACATACTCAAGTTTCTTTTATTTACATATAAATATTTCAGTAGCATATATGCATGCATAAGAGGAATACTAATAGCAAAAGATCAGAATCGTAGAGCTTCAAAGTTATAATCAGTACAGGGATTATTTTGTAAAGTAACCATCAGGCACAATAACAGGAATAAGTCTTTGGAGCAACAAAAATTATCTACACGATGATGTTATTTCAGTTTATAGGTACATTCAACCTCATATTACTTCCACAATGATCAACAAACCCCAGGAATTAGAACACACCACTGCACTCTTTAGTATCTCATTCATCAACACAGCAAAAACCGGAAAAAAAAGTAAAAGAGAAAAAAAGGATGAAAGAAAGAAAGAAAGGGAGGGGGAAAAAAACTTGAGTATGTCTTTTGCAACGGTAAAAAAAACATAAGGGAAATTTTGATTATTTTCAAAACGAAAAAAGAAGAAAACAAGAAAACATCAGTGCAAAAAAAAACGAAGAGAAAACAAATTATTTTCAAAACGAAAAAAAGAAGAAAACAAGAAAATAAAAAAACTGAAAAAAAACCTGAGTATCGGTCGGTCGGCGGCGGATCCGGAGGCGAAGGAGTCGGCGGCGGT